AAGGAGCGCGTGTGCGGGGTGCGCTGCAGGGACGTCCTCTCAGGTGTGTGCCTCCCCGGCGGCGCGGGCACCCAGCGCTCCCCGGCACCCCGCTCGCTGGGTGGGAGCCACGGCTTTCTGCAGCCGGCCCTGCCGCGGTTGATCAGAAAGCGTGCTCTCTTCGTTAAAGAAACGCAGAAATAATGAAGCGAGGGAGGAGCGGGGAAGGCTGCTGTTGGTAAATATCAATGAACCGAGAAAGGAGCCATCTTCCCAGAGTGCAGCGGCATACCATTAGCGTCAATCATCTTTAACTTCTGTCAGGTTTTTCACTCAAATTCTAGCGTTTTGGCAGGGTAGACTGAGCTTTACATCCAAACCCTTCTGTCAAGCAAAGGCGGCGTTGTAAAACGCTGCGTGCTGTACAGTAATAATCCCATTTACCGAGCCTATGGGCTGAGACTGAAATCCCTCTTGTTTGAGAGGCAGGCTTCAGCCGAACTTCTTCCACCCAGTCCTCCTCCTCCCAGTACAGAGAAGATGGAATTTCACTGTAAAACACTTCCTTTCAAATCGGGTGTTACGTGAAAACTTTGTTAATTTTTACAAACCGTTCCAGCTGTTCTGTTCAGAGAAGCACGACACACTTTACAGTAGGTTAAGTTCATAGATGGATTAATAATAGAGAGTGTCAGCGAGCAGGAAAGCAAACGGGGTATGTGATTGATACTGTTTTCCTTCACAGGGCAGGAATTTGATGTCAAAGCCAAATGTGTTATCAATGCTACGGGACCTTTCACAGACTCTGTGCGCAAAATGGATGATCAGGAAGTACCAAACATCTGTCAGCCAAGCGCCGGCGTGCATATTGTGATGCCTGGCTATTACAGGTAACGATACTCGAAGCCGAAGCCATTTGTAACCATCTCTGCTGGTGTCTGTAATAAATAAGCTTGCAGAGATGCATTTGTAGGTTTTTACAGTAGTTCTGAATGCACAATTTGATTTTTATTTTGGTTTGTGGTTTTTTTTTGTTTTTTTTTTCCCCCCAAGAGGATTCTGGCACTGTACCTGTGAGAGTAACAACTTCATACAGTCAGAAAAGGCTGAAGTTTTGTAGCTGTCAGTTAAAACTCACCAAGGCAGAACTCGTGCTGAAGCAGAAGGGTGTTTAGGCAGAGGATCCACAACAGGCCTGTGAAAGGCACCTTTTTTAATAATGAGTTTGAGCTGAGTGTGCTGACCGCTTGTTCACCTGCCTTAAGAAAACAAGAAACATATCAAACCTTCCAGAGAGGAAGGCTCTTGTCCTATTAAATACCAAACCCTGTGCAATAACACACTGCCACATCACGACTCCACTCACAATAAATCCGAATGCAGCATGCAGGCAATACAAGAAGTCGTTCAAAGTAACACGATTAAATTCTGAGGCTGCTGTGGGCACGAGCCCACCCACCCGCGGCCGTTTGGTGGAAAGGACTTGCCTCCCTCTGCTGACCTTGTTGCAGAAGAGGCTCCCGTGGCACTCGGCAAGCACGCTCTCTGCAGACTCCTGCTTCTTCCCTTATTTGCTGCTGCAGAACCAAATCCCCTTCTACCAAGTAAGCCTTGTCAGTCGAAGCTCAAATATTACCTTTGGTTTCTGAAGTCATTAGCATCCTAATGGAAATTCACATTTGTAGACTTATCCCAATTCTGTTGATACAGTGCACTTATAATAATGCCTTCCATACCATCATTGCACTCCTCTGTGAATATAAATTTAGCCTTCCAGTGCACAACATGCTGTTTTTGCTGGAGCTATCCTAATAGGGCATGACCATAGACTGTAAAATTGAGGCATTTTTGGCCTGGTGTAAAATCACGCTCACATTCTCTTTTCTTTTTGGTGTCTTTCCATGTGAAAAATGGGAAAATGACCCGATAGCTGCTTTAAAGCACTAGCGATGTGGAGAAATGGGTTGCAATGCTACTTCCCTCATACACTACGAGAAGCACACGTGTGATTGACTTTATGCCCCTACAGCGAAAACGTGGAAAGTTTCAAAGCTTTGAATCACTTTGTAAATTCAAAGTAGAAGATGGCTTGACATGCGTGAGGGCTCTCACTTATTTATTGTGTAATAACCTAATAATTTTAATGGGAAATGTAGAGAATTTTGTTCTCCTCGTTCCCCTGTGTATGTCAGCATGTGGGCATTGCTTCTCGTGTAAAATAGTATCTACCCACATACAGCCTCCACAGTACAGCTGATTAGATAAAGCTGTACAGAATTGCCTTGAAGTGGGATAGCTTACACCAGCGAACGGTCTGCTAAATGGAAAATTCTCGTGGTATTTAATCTTACTTGTATCAAGTCTTCTCCTGGTGCCAAGGAATAGTCCTCAACGAACGAAATTGTCGTTTCCCGGCGTCCGCTTGCCTTGTCGTAAATGTTTTACAGAATTTTGGCCCGGACTCACACAAACAGAAATCTTGTAACAGGTAGAGATTTTCAGACATAAGCACAGTTAAGATTTGTTAAACCTGGTGTTAACCGAATGCGTTCATTTCCCATCGGTTTCTTCCTCATTTATGTTCCTCATTAATAGTCCCAATATTCCTCCCCTCGTTAATTCTGGTTTTAGTACACACATACCTATTCTAGCAGCTGCAGTAAGTCCCGTCGCTCCCTGTTGTTGAAGCATATCGTCTGCTGCGACGGGGGAGGATTGGGGCTACCGTTGTGCAGATAGGCTCCCCGCCTGAAATGTGCCTACAAATACTTTTTTCCCCTCCCGCCTGACAATTTTCAGATGTTTTCCATCTTTCTCGAATTTTCCTATCTGCTCTGCATTCCAGATTCCAGGCAAACTTGTCTGCTAAACCTTAGTCCTGCTCTGTGGCGCGTCGCCTATTTGCTCTTTAACCGCTTTTGTGGTGCGTTGCTCAAGTGCCTCTGGAGTCCCAGAACAGCCAATATTTGGGTGTGAGGATGGTTGGGTTTGATGGGAAACACCTTATTTTTAAATGTGTGTTGGTGGCTCTTCAGTTTTATAGCAGACGGACCAAACACAGCAAGAGGAGGTGTGAGAGAGAGCTTCCCAGGATAGCCGGTAGTCATTAATTCAGTAAATTAATTGGCATACGGAAAACTCTTTCATCCTTTCTCATCACTTGCTGTGTAATTGAAAACACTTCAGTCCATAGGTGTCGTAGTGAAACTTTGTACAGGACTGGGTGAACAAGTCTTTACTTGTTTCTCTTCCTTATTTTTTAACATTTTTTGTGAAATTAAAAAAAAATTCATGCTTTTGAGAAAATATCTAAAGTTTTCCGAGTATTCTGATACTGTATATTAAATCTCTAGTTTCCTCTGTCTCTAAATCAATAGCTTTTTCATTTAAAAAGTAATCATTTGTCTGACGTGATTTACCTTTCACAAATCTGTGTTGACTTCCCCTATTAAATTGTACTTCTCCAACTGTATGCTTAAGCTGTCTATAAATATCACCTAAAAAATGTTCTAATATACATGCTCTATATGAAATTTTCAGCTTCTCTTCTAGCCTTTCCAGATATTGAAAACTTACCTTCAGTAATCAGTTTAGACTTCCTAAAAATGAAATACTCAGTGGCTCAGCTTGCAGCTCTCTTAAATAGGTAATTCACATCCAGACAGGTCTCTGTCTGCCTTCAGCTTATCGCATTCGTTGTTGTTTGAGTCTGCTGGATTACTGCCCGCTGATGGTCCATGTTGCCACCCAAATACGTGCCTCCCATCCCCCTTCCGTACAATTCCTATAGCCTCCTTCCCCGACCGGGAATAGGTGCAGCTGAACGGGCTGCAGGTGTCCTCACAAGGGCTTCAGCACCTGAAGTGACAGGCAGTGCCTTGCCCTCAAATAAAAAGGAGTGGGGAAAAAGGGGCAGCTTGCATGCTTTCCTCTATAAAAGCTGTTTGCTTTGAAGTGTTTATATAGAAGCTTTTTGTTTTCTGAAATATAAGCAGAGCTATTTAATAAGTGATAAGGATAACTGCTTTTGTACATGTGGATTTTTTTTTTTTTTATATACCAGGAAGCATTTTTACATCAGTAAAAGTTTCCTGCATGAAGAACTACTGGTTTTCTTCATTTTACTGAATCAGTCTGTTTGTAGGGCTGGCATAAATAAACCAAAATAGCCCTGAATACCAGCACCCAGTTAGTGTCTGTTAGGCATTACGGAGGTGACATCTTTTGCTTTTTTTTTTTTTTTTTTTTTCCCTTTTTCCTTAAAACACAGTTCCCCGTTCAGGAATGCTGCCGTGAGAGCTGGGAGCATTCAGAATATACTTCTTGGTCCACAGTCCTTCGGGATCCTGTGGGCACTTATTCCTGTTCGAGCGGCAGGCGTCAGCGACCTCGCTGGAGTTTGCCTGTTTAAATGAACTTGTAACCCTTAGGATTTCAGTGTGACTCTCCGTGTTCCCTCTGCTTTTTCTTCCCATTACCAACCCTCACCCCCGCTCCCCGCCCCACCTTCATCGCCAGTGCAGGTTGCAGAAGTCATTGGGATTTTGTCTTTACTTCTGCCCTCCGCTTCGGGAGCGGATGATTGATAACTTGGGTTAGTAACGTTTCATCTTCAATTTGTCTTGTTCTATATGCGGAGGCATCAAAACAGAACTGGGGGTCTGTTCGTATTTCTTTCGTTATAATGTGCATTCTGTTTCAGCCTTCCCTTTCCTCTCTGGTATAATATAAATTATTGTCCATTTTTCATTAAAAGCAGTTGTTCATTCAATAATGAGTTTCAAGTAATTGCTGGTTTGAAATTTCCAAATGTTTGTATTTGAAATTCCAATGAGCAAGATTTTCAAGAGTGAGTGGAAATGGAGAAGTGAGATGCCAAAGGCCTGATTGCTCGATTTGAAGTTGTGGTCTGCTAAGAAACCAAATTAAGAAATCAAATTCTAGTAGTATCTGAGCATCACATTCAGAGGCCTTATTTCTTAAAACTTCTGGGGCTACCTTTTAAAGTCAGGTCATGGCCACATGTGAATTCTCTGGCTTTTGGAGTTTGGTTTTTTTTTTTTGTTTGGTGGTGTTTTGGTTTTTTGGTTCTGGTGGTTTTGTTGTTTTGGGGTTTTTTTTGTAATCCTTTGACCTAAGAACAAAGGTAATGTTCTAATACTTTATCTAGGGTACAAGGTGTGCAAGAACAGAATCCCTGGTGATGCCTAGCCTGTTTTGAACCGTGTCCCTTCTTTATTTCAGCCCTGATAACATGGGGCTGCTTGACCCAGCCACCAGCGACGGTAGAGTGATTTTCTTCCTGCCGTGGGAGAAGATGACGATCGCAGGGACCACAGACAGCCCGACTGATGTTACTTCCCATCCAATACCAACAGAAGAAGATATAAACTTCATTTTGAATGAAGTGCGCAACTACCTTAGCGTTGATGTCGAAGGTAAACCTTTGCCAGCTCTGTCGTTCCCCGGGAGGGTACTGGTGAGTCTGTGGCGTTTTGGTTTGAGCAAGTGCTGTCTGTCTGGGGTTCCCCTGTGACTCTGGTAACTGTGGTTCTTGTGTACCTGGGGGCTTCTAAAACTAGTGCGACGTAAGGGCCATCGTGGTCTGTGTATCGCAACTACAAAATGATGCTTTTCCAGATATACCTGCGTGCTTTGGACTGTTTACATGGAAATCGGTTGATACCGATGTTCAGACTTCACACACCTTTCATCTGTCTGGTGCTAACTGTCCCGCTCCACAGCCAAGTCATCCTGCTCTCTTTGGGTGGCAGATGCAAGGCTTTGCAGAACTGGGACAGCTCGGTCAGAGCTCAGCACAAGTACATCACATAATTCACCTGCTTTCCTTGAAGGAAGAGTCGTTCTGACTTCTCCCATGTCTTTGTCTTCATTTCCTTTTTCTAGGCACTTTATTCTTAGAATTTACTTCTCTTAATATGGCAAATACCTAATAGTGCCAGTTTTCAGTGGGAAAGTACAATGGGCAAGAAGGGGAATTTATGAAAACTACTTGGTTGAGGGTTGTTCCCCTCAGTAGCTGAGCTGAGAACACGTTTTTTTGTAAGGTGCTGGCCGGCTTTGTTTTGACTCAGTGCTGGTTTAAAGGAGAGAGGCTTCCTTCATAGTGAGGCTTTTTAAAAATTATGCTGCGAAAGCATCTGTACTTCTGTATTTCCCTTGTAGTAGCAGCATTAAAATACATCTGAAAAGCACTCGGTCGGGAACATTGCAATATCCTTAGATTTGGGAAAACTTGCAGTCCGGAGATCGGGAAGGCTAGGTTACGTGTTTGCTGGAGTGGGTAATTGGTGGCTCTGTGTTGATGAAGTTTACAAAAAGTCCTCAGGAAATGTACCTTCAGGGTTCTCGAGCAGGAGCCGATACAAGTAAGTGTGGGGGGCCAGACAGGTAGGTGGTGGAGGTAAGGCTGTGAATAAGGCAGAGATTTTGCAAGGTATTTTACAGAAGTACATCATGAAGTGTTTAATTCTTTTGAATGAAACCTACCTAGGTGCACGCTGTTTTTCACATGTGCAATTAGCAGTGTTTATAGATTGCTTGTTATTGAATTAACAACTGTGCTGGCCATATCAACTCGCTGCAGACCTGCCTTTTTGCTGCCAGAGACAGTGCCAGGGTTATCAACTTACACAGGCTTGGATGTGTTCCAACTGTTTAATTATAGTGTCACGCATGCTGCTTTTTCTAGTTTCATTAGTTTATAAACGTAATATGGTATCCTATTTCTGTGATTAACACTTCATTTTGGCAGGTTAAACATGCTGGCAGAGCACCATTGATTTCTGAAATCTATTTTGTGTTCTTTGGGGATATTTTTACACCCCGTTACTGATTTTTCAATTATCGTTTATTTGAAAGTTGTATTTAAAAAAAAAAAAAAAAAAAGTTCCAAAGACTTCAGCGTAAAGCAAATCGGTCAATTTTTCTATTGCAAATTAATAAGCAACAAAACTAATTTAATTAAATTCTCTATTGGTCCCATGTTTTATGTATTAAAAAAAGTGACTTTGGGAGGCTGGGGTATCTTCCTACGACTGTTAAGGGCTTTTGTGACTACTTGGTGCCTTCAGGTTTTCTTCCTCCAAGCTTACTGAGGAGTCAGGGCTGGCTTTAGGGGTGTGCTTGGAACTGGACGCAAAGGAGTGGCACGGGGGGGAGAAAAAGTAAACGGCCGTTCAGTCAGGCTTCTTGTGGGGTGGGACCGTGTTTCTGGAGCAGCGATAAGGAGGAGGAAGAGCAGGCAGGGGTGGAAGAGGCGGTTGTGTAAGAGCTGTGGACTTCTGTTGGGTGGCTTTTGACAAGTCAGCGGGCCCTTTCGGGTTGCTGCGCAGTAGCAAACGCTGGCGTGGGATACGAGCTTTGGGGACGTGCTACCGCCAGCCACAACCTCGCCGATAAATCTCCTTGTGCACGTGTGTGACGGCACTTCCGGTGAAGGCTGTGGATAAAGATCACTTTGTCGAGAGGAAAACTTGGAAAAGTAACCTACAAGCGAGAGATAAAGCTTCAAAGTCCTAAAAGCAAACATTATGCTCATGTGGAACAAACTTTATTTTGGTTTCTAAAATGGAATGTGAGGACTGTTCTGTCGGCACAGGCAAACAAGGAGAAGGCTTGGGGCTGGGGGCTGTGTGTTTTGGTAGGGTTTGGGGTTTGATTTTTTTTTTTTTTTTTTTTTTTTTTTTGAGCTAATCAGGGAGTTTGACAGTTGAATCTCCTTTGGTTGATCAGTTCCCAGGATGTCTCTGTTCTGTTGGATTTTTAACCAGTGTGAAAAACGGACCTCTCTGACTTTGTTTTGGGCTAGAGAATATTATTGATACTGATCAGGGCAGTGCTGTTTTTAATTCTGTAGCCCAGCTTATTCCGTTACTTTAGAGAATCTTCTCCAGCTTTTTGAGTTGCTCAGCTAACAAGCATGGTGTGGTGCAGTCCTTGTTTCACAGCAAGTATGTAATCGGGGCAATGCCACAAAGACACGGGGGGATTTGAGGTGATAAACACCCATCAGTTTCTGGCTGACTTTGGCTGATCTTTGGTTCTGGACAGTGAGAAGAGGAGACGTGTTGGCAGCATGGAGTGGCATTCGTCCTCTGGTCACAGACCCCAACTCCAAAGACACGCAGTCGATATCCCGGAATCACGTTGTTACCATTAGCGACAGTGGCCTTGTCACGATAGCAGGTACTGTAAGTTCTCTTAACGTACAGCTTTGTTGGGCTTCCCCAGCTTATTTCATGCAAAACTTTTCCTCTTACAGGATAATCCTTTGTGTTCCTGTAACTAGATAATAATCTGTCAGTGGTAGCGTGATTGCCTTGTTGGAGCAAGTCTAGTAAGAATGATGTGATATATAAAATATATATAGTATGTACCAACTTGGGATTCCACTTGCTTTCCCCAAATAAAGTAGTAAACGTGTGGCTACAGGTGGGAAGTGGACAACCTACCGTGCCATGGCGCAGGACACCATCGATGCAGCTATTCAGGCGCATGATCTGAAGGCAGGTTCCAGTAAGACCATTGGACTGCAGCTGCAAGGGGCTGAGGACTGGAGTCCCACTCTCTACATTAGGTTGGTCCAAGACTATGGACTTGAAAGTGAGGTGAGTTATGGTTTCTCTTGGTGCTCTGATGTTTCTCTGTTGGAGGGTTTTGTTTTCCCACTAAATCTAATGCCAGCATAGTTTGTACAAAGGTCTGTCGAACCTGATAAGAGCTTATTATCGGGCTGGGGCAAAGATAGTTTTAACAAAAATAAATTCTAGTAACTGCTCTTCTTCCCTTTTCGCTTCCTCCTAATCTTGACTGCTTCCTGCTTTAAAATGTTACGATCTGCTAGGGTGTCTGCCTTCAAGCGCAACAAAATCTGTACTTCAGACGTCATCACGGCATCATTAGTCACAGTTACATCGGTACGTACGTACTGGTGTCAGTGCTGGTCTAACCCACTCACCACGCGAGGAGTTTCCTCGCACACAAGCAAAACCTAATACCCTCTGCAGCCTACTTGTTACTGGTGATAAGAGAATTGACAAGAAAAAATGCGTGTATATCTGATGTGCTTTCAAAAGCACAGTGAACTTGTTTTCAACTCCATAGGTGGCTCAGCATCTGGCTTCAACATATGGTGATAAGGCTTTTGAGGTGGCCAAAATAGCCCAAGTTACGGGAAAGAGATGGCCTATTGTTGGAAAACGTCTTGTGTCTGAATTTCCTTATATCGAGGCTGAGGTATGTGGAAAAAGCTACCTAATGTTCTTTGGTTCTCTCCTCGGGATAAGCAGGTTCTAGAGCAGGTCTGTCCTGCTCTCTAAAGCATCTCCATAAGCCCCTTCCTTTGGTGAGGTCTGGATTTTTTTTTTTTCTGTTTTTTTTTTTTTTCTGGTTTTTTTTTCCCCTTCCCCAGACTATGATTTATTTTTATATTTATATACAAACACATCAATATATAATGAAATATTTGTAATTATGTAATGTCTGATTTATGTCGCACGTTCTGGGATCAAATGTGTACATGTTTTATAAAGTGTTCCAAGGAAAAGGGAGCTTTTCAAACCCTTCTCTTGGTTGGATGGGAAGTTCATTTTGTATAGCCAGCCCAGCAGTGCGGTTCGTGGTGCTGAGCATCATTTCCAACAATGCCTGTCTGCTTTCTCATCTGCGCTTTTTCCCCTCATCTCATCGTTCTAGGTTGTCTATGGTGTTAAGGAGTACGCCCGCACGGCAGTGGATATGATTTCCCGACGCACTCGCTTGGCCTTTCTGAACGTGCAGGCTGCAGAGGAAGCCCTGCCAAGGATCGTAGATATAATGGGGAAAGAACTCAACTGGAGTGAGCAGAAAAAAAAGGTACAAAGGGCTTTCTTCATCTGCAATCGTCTTGTTTTTAAGTAGTTTCCATGTTAACGATCTAAATTAGTTGAGAACGATTCACGTGGTGTGTTTCATCAAAATAGCTGTGTAATGAGTTGGTATTGGCTGGGGGGTGGCAGGGACAGTGAAGATCTGTATCCTGTTGTTCCCTAACTTTAAAAATTAAAGCCGACTTGGCATTACTATCCTATTCCTGCTCAAATATTTTGTTTACTGACACTTTTCAACAGATCTGCCTCAGAAAAGGAGGATCTCGTACTCTGTGTCGTTCCTTTTTGTCTGCTGTGTCTTTGGGAAGGTGGCGATTCTGAGCTTGCACCGTTCTCTGGCCTGTGTTGATGTTTAAGGTCATTGCTGCTCCCTTTGCCCCCGGTGGGTCTGTGCTCAGACACACGGCGTGGGACTCCTCTCGCTTTACTTGCGGTGTTGCTAACAGGCCGTCTCTGTCTGAGCTCATCTCTGTATGCCTGCTCTGTAGCAAACAAACTTGGGTCAGATGCCTTACCCTAATGGAGGCATCTGCTGTGCATGCTTTGAATGGCACCTGCAGCCCTCTTTAGATCTCCACAAACCGTCAGGACTCCCTTGGGTAACTAGTGTAGATGTAGACATCCCGCTTACTGACACGAAACCTTCCCCTTCTGAACTATCACGCCGTGTTAAGTTACCAATTATTGCTGCTTTCTGTTGTCATAAAAAGATAAATGCCCAGAGCAGCGGAGGCTGCGCTTGCAATGCTGTCCGGAGTACGGCAGAGGGACGGCAGCGCGAGGGGTGCTGTACCCAAGTGGGACACGTGGTTTGGGGCTTTCACTCTGGAGCAAACGGAACCTGTGAATGCTCACCTAGCTCTTCCACTCCAGAGGGGTTGGGAAGCTTCCCTTGGACTGTTCACGAAACCTTTTAGCCAGTTAGAAGTTTGATCACACTCCGGAGGGAGCTCATTTGAATCCTGCTAGCCAGAGGACCTGCTGTGATCCCAAAGCCTCCCCACAGGAATGCGTAAAGAAAGGGATACCAACACGTCACAGCCCTGAGCTGTGTCGCTGGCGTGCGCGTGTGGTGAGCAACCTCAGAGTCAGGGGCGTTCGACTGAAGTTAGAGGTGTCTCACCCTTACCCAGTGAGATTTTCTCACACAATAATTTACCGTGTTAAACAAAAGTTGTAGTAATTCCTCCACAGCAATCGATTAGAAAATGGGAAGCTCGTAAAGCAAAGCATTTGAAACCAGCCTGGCGTTAAGGTCGCATGGACAGCCCTGGCTCCAGCAGCCCCTAGCTGGGGAGTCAGGCACCCATCCTCACTGTAACCTGCAGGGAGGAAAAGGACCAACTACTGCATGCACCCATAGGACTTACAAAGCCCCCCGTGGCTTGTGCGAGCTCACCAGTGCCGGCAAGGCAGCCTCTGCGTTGCCTGGATGTCCACTGGGGTTTCTTTGGGAAAGGTCTCCTTTTCTTTGAAATGAGGCTAACACACACACACACACCCGCCCCCGAAATTACCTTCAGTAACCAGTCTTGGGCCATTTTGAAGTGCTACATTTTTACAGCAGTCTTGCACATGCTAGATTTCAGCTTGACGGACGAGGCAATTCAATGCCTATCCAGAAGAGCATTCTTTAATTTAGATCTTGTAGCAAGAGCATTAAATAAGGCTTTGGTCTGGGGGTTGAAGGCTATTATGTGTGCTTATATTGAAGTTCATAAGAGTAGTCTGGTGTAGTTTAGTTGGTACCCTATGACACCTTCACAAACAAGTCTTTGCTAGATGGAGTGGCTGATACGTACGTGCCTGGGAATTTTCGAAGCGTTGCTTAGCATGCCTACTCCTGTTTGTTAACTGCAGTGCAGACTATTTAATAGCAGTGCCCACGCGGCAGACGCTTGTATTGCTCTTCGAACCGTGTTGGGTGTACCCATCGTTGCAGAAAGAACTCTCTTCTACAGTATTTTATGTATGTCAGGTGTTTATCACTTGTTAAAAAACTGGAAGACCTTGCACTGAACTTCCAGGTGATAAATTAATTTTACTACCATCAAGAAAACTAGTTTAAAACATAAAGAACCCGCATAGCATTGAGCCTCCCGATTTTTTTTTTTTTTTTTTTTTTTTTTTGGCTGATTTTTAGACAGTTAGGTGAAACATTACACTACGATATCAGCTGTGAGATAAATGGCATTTTGTAGGCCTGGCCTGCAAGTGCCGTTCTTCATGAAATAGGTAAATACACCACGTGTGACCAAAGGCGTCGCGTGGTCCTAAAAACGTTTACACAGCATTTAGAAGTCTTTACTAGAATTGATATCTCTTTTCAAGACTAAAAAGTGCCTACGCTTAACTTAATTTTTTTGTTTTTTAAAATACTTTCCAGGTACCATCTTGCTTAATTTTTGGACCTTAGATAAATTTTAGTTACGTGGAAGAAGCTAATAAATACTACCCGAAAAATAACTGTAAGAACTTGCTATTCCTCGGATATGCAGTTTTTATTTTTTTTTTTTTTCTTTTCCAGGAAGAACTTGAAGCTGCTAAAAAATTTCTCTATTATGAAATGGGCTACAAAGTAAAATCAGATCAATTAACAGACAGCTCTGAAATCAGTCTAATGCCTTCAGATATTGAAAGGTAAGTAAAGAGAGTTCCCTGTGCTGCCAGGAATTAATACCTGTCACTCTTCTGAGTGCAGTTTTTCCCACTGATAATCCTTATCTTGCAGGTACAAGAAGCGATTCCACATGTTTGACAAGGACAAGAAAGGGTTTATTACTATACTGGATGTGCAGCGTGTCTTGGAGGTAATGTTTCCTTGTGTTCTTTTCGTTTCCTTTCTAAGCCTCTTATCTAAATTTCAGAGTGTGGCATAAGTAGTGCTGAACAATCCAGTTGACATACTTCTGTGCTTCCTTTTGCCTAGAGCATCAGTGTGCAAATTGCCGAAAATACACTTCACGATATTCTCAATGAAGTGGATCTGAACAAAAACGGACAGGTTGAGCTCAATGAGTTTTTGCAGGTAGGTGTTTCGTACGAGAGCAGCTGTAACTTTAAAGAGCGAAGGCATGGGCATTTAATTTTTTCCCCTCTTTGCTGGAGGGCTGGGTTGGAGACTAGGTGACTCTTGCCTGGGTAAACGCTGGAGCGGTGATGCTATTTGCCAGACCACAAGAGAAGTGACGCACGGAGCCATCCGCAAGCAACTTTGAAATTCAAGGATTTTTTTTTTTTTTTCATGTGCAAAACCAATGGCACCTAAAGAACAGGTCCAGTTCACAAAGTCTACCACAGTAGAGACCTGAATTCGGCTTTTTTCATACAGAAATGCTGTTTAAATATGTTCAGAATGATACAGCTGTCCGTTGGGAGGTGTATGGCACAGTTATGCACGCTGACATTTATCTGGGTCTGTTAAATGATCAGTAGTTTCTAAACTATTTTGAATACTTTAAGGAGCAAGCTTGTGGTTAAAGCACGTCCAGTCCTTCTATTCCCATTTCAGCTGCTGGCTTGGCTGACGGTACCTCAGTTTGTATGAAAGACATTACATTGGCAACCCATACATCTGCTTTTTGCAGGGCTTTAAAATAAAATGAAGGGTGCTACTGAAACGTTTGTCTGCCCGGCTCCTCTTGCATATGCAGTTTGCCAGGCAGCTTTGTTTTTGTAGAGCCTTTCTTGGTGTGGTATTTCAAGTGACTGCCATGTCTTTCCTGTGTGGTGGCAATGATGAATGCCGAACATGAGATAAATTAATGCTGGGGATTTTGGTCAATGTCAGCCCTTTCTTCACTGTGTCAAGTTAAACAAACAAGATCAAGGCAAAGGAAATGGTAATTGTCTCTCTCGAGATGAGCTGTAGATAAGAGCAGCATTGTTGAATCTAAATGCAGAAAATTTTCACAGGTTGTGTCCAGCATTAGAAAAAAGGACTATTTATTTGCCTAAAATGCAGCAATTTAGCTGGGTAACTGAAATGCACTTAAAAGGGGGGGGGGGAAATACAAACAAACCATGGCAGGGGAGGAAGAAACAATGGCTTGGGAGTTCATGCTTAGGTATTCAAATGTAAGAAAATCACAGCTGCTTCTCTGGCTGTTGAAAAGGGTCTCCCTCCTGCATCCCTTCGCATGCGGAAACTTTAATTGGTGGGGGGGAACCCACCATTTGCTGTAAGGGCTGTGCTAAGCTGTAATTAGGTTAGTTTGGCTACACTGTGGTTAAGGAGTTGAAACAACTAGTAATTATGTCTTCTGCAGATTTTTTTTTTTGTGGCTTTCTGGGGTTTTTGCTTTGCTCTGCTGAATGGTCTCATGAGGGGTTGCCTGTCCTAAGTCACAACATCAGTAAAATAGAAAAGGGAAGTCACCGGTTCGGTATAGTTTCACGGTTACTTCAGTAAAACTGCAACTCTGGCTACTGGCTTCTCCTATAACGCAATCTAAATATTTAACACTTTGCAAAACTGTGCAAGTCTGGCTACTGGCTTCTCCTATAACGCAGCCTAAGTACTCCACACCAGTGACTGGCACGGCAGGAACGACCGCTTGTGCCTCTGCACCTCCTGCCTGCAGAGGCAGGGAGCAGCACTGGGAGCTGCTGCGTGGCCAAGTGGGAAGCGCGGTAATGCGGAGGTTGCCATGGAAGGAACAAAATACATTAAATGTTTGTTTAATTTTTTTTTTTAATGGATCTGTTAAAGTCCGTTCCCAATACTTTCATGTTTGCTTTCTGAAAACTTTCAAGTAATTGCATTTTGCCGCAGAATGCTTGTGGAAAGCCATGTGCAAATATTTGTGGACGTTTATATTAGAATATAGGAACACGTTGTACCGGGGTGGCTGCGTAGCTCTCCAGGTGGGGAGCAGAGCAGTGCCAAGTGCTTTCCTTTGGCCAACTGCAGATTGCCAGTGTAACTCAAATAGTGGCCTTGTGAGAACCGGTCCCGGCAGACACCGATGCCTACAGGTGTTTCGGACCGCATTGATCAGCGTTTAATACAAACAGGCCGCTCCACCGTGGCAGGGAGGCAGAGCTCCGACAGTGTTCGGGTGTACACAGAGCTGTCTTACAGCAGTGACTATTTTTTCTGAAGACTGGCATACAGAAACTGTTGTCATTCATGTTCAAGAAAGGAGGGGGACCTTGGGAACTAGTTTTGGTATGTAAAGGCAAAAAAAAAAAACCAAAACCAACCCCGTGTTAATCAGGAGGAAGCTTTTTCCCCAACAGCAGATTTCCTTCGGGGTCCCGACAGACCCATGCAGCACAAACTCTTGTTTTCATGGTGGTGCCGGAGGATCAGCCCTCTCTTTTGTGGTGGCTCCCCCAAAGAGCACGTGGACCCAAGGCTGGTAGTCAGCGTATCTATCACCCAGCAGGGTGAACGGGTGCGAGGGCCGTGCCTCTCCTCTTGGGGCCTCCCTGCCTGCGCTCGGGAGGCGGGGGTGTACGCCGAGCCCGAGCGGTGGTGGTGGGCTGCCTGTGCTGGCTGGAGCCACCGCTCGTGCTGCTGCTGGTCCTCTCCTTCCCGACTCCACCATCTGCCTTGCCTCCAGGCTGCAGAGGGTAATCAAACGCCTTCAAAATACAGGGAGGTTTTCCCAGCCTCAGCTGGGTCTGTAAAGGGTTCCCTTCCAACCCTTTCCCCTCCCGGGTACTTGCTCCTGCTGTGACAGGGTTGATACCGCATTTGCATAGGTCCAGCTGCAGATATAATTAATAGATCTTCCTATAGATGGGAAAGAATCTGAAGGATTTTTATTACTCAATGGGAGTAAGAAATTGCATTTTGTAAGTGCCGATTGCTTTCCATGGTAGTCTTTGACAAGCTGACTGCATGTAATTTCAAGTCTAATACTCACTTTATCCATGGGATAAAAAAGAATTAACTAAAATCTTAGCACTAGTGTGTGTTCGTTAAGATAGAGCTGAGTCCAGTTTCAAGGACTTAAAGGCAAATTAGTTTTAAAAGTCTATAAAGGAATTTGGATTTGAAAGAATTGTGGAAGTCAAGTACATTATCTCTCCAAAGTAGGGCACATGAATGAAAAAGGGTATGGTCCAGGGTCAGTGGTGGATCAGGAATGGTGTTCTTCTATTAGTTACATCTTTCAGATAAAAATTAAAAAAAAAAAAAAAAAGCCTGTGGAATAGATGGGCTATCCTGTATTCCTAAATGTCACTGGAAAAAACATGGTGTTGCTGGTTACCTGCACTATCGCTTTCAAGTGGATCACACTTGGTACTTCTGCTCTTCCTGCCACCCATGCCTGGCCAAAACTGCCACTGATATTTCTGGAAAATGTAAATGAGCTTTGAGGTGAGTCTTTGAAACCATACCGCGGTTTTGCTTTATATGTGGAAAAATCAGTTCTGTATATTCATTGTTCAGACTGGAGCTGTGCCGTGTCCGCTGCTGGTGGCCGAGGGGCCGGGCAGCCAGCCGTGTCGGTACGCCTCTCGTCGGGGCAGAGTCTCTAGCACCAAGCTGTGTGGCTCTGGTGCCCCGTCAGCCCTGTCGGTGGAGGGCTCCGGCCGTGGTGGCTGCTCAGGGACTGGCATGGGCTGTCCCTCTGGCTGCGTACGACCGCCCTCCCGTCGGGCGCTGTACCGTCTGCCTTCGCTCTGTGCCTGGCAGAGGAGTTAACGGGGTGCTCTCCCTGTCGTGTCTTTCAGCTCATGAGCGCTATCCAGAAGGGCCACGTCTCCGGAAGCCGGCTGGCTGTGCTGATGAAGACTGCCGAGGAGAACCTGCGTCAGAGGGTGGTGATCCCGGTGGACCGGAGCGGTGGCGGACTGTGAGGTCAAACACGGCGCCTGCTCGCAGCCACGGCACACGGAGACGCGTAGCTGCGGGCGCCTGCTGAAAAACATTCCAGTGCTTCTGGTTGCCCTTGCTTGTTCAAGATGACCGGTACCTGTCTATCGGTGTAGCTCTTACAAAAACGCGTTGGTGCAATTGTTTTCATTATTAATGGTTTTCTGTACAGCTCTTAATACTCCCGTATGTGGCCTTTTGGATTGGGTATTCTTCAGACATAGGAGTTCATTAACAAGAGTTCCGGAGTACGGTCTAGAAAGGCTTGGGTGCACACACAAGCACACGTGCACGTACTGCCTTGTTCGTTAACTTTTATACCGCCTCTACCTTTAAAGAAAACGATTCTGGGAAAGTGAGTCCTGCCTTTAAACGCCTTGCATGGAGTTTTGCAGGGATGCCTTTAGTATGCAAAGGCTGCTGATGTGTCCTCTTCAACAAAAGAGCAACCTGGTGTTCTGGATTGGAGATAGCATGGCAAAAGGAACAAAACCAACGCTTCCTGCGGTGGTGGTTACGGTGAAGAACCATCGTGAGCCTTCCGTAGGTGGCTGGTTTTGCTCTTTCGAGTGCTCTGTTCTTTCAGTGGTGCCAATACTTGGCCAGACAAAATTATCAGCCGTATGAAGCTGGAAAAACTGCAAGACATCTTGATTAATCCCCCAAGCTAATAATTCGGCTAAAAGCTAGGGGACAGCTTTCCTCTCTCCCCTGTTAATAAAAATAAGCGTCCCTTAATGAATTGCATTGTCTAGCAGGTGGTGTTCTATGCCATGAAGCGCTTCACGCTGCTGCTGGTTTTGGACAAACACCGATGATGCGTAGAATATGGCAGGTTCTGATAGCGTTACAGTCTTAATTGTTTATTTATTTAAAAATGCTCAAACACAAAGTGAAACAATGAAATTTGTTTTGCATTCCACTAACTTTTATAGAAAAGTGAAAGGGCTATTTTTCAGCAGATTAATTAAAAAAAAAAAAAAATAGGACCACTCACTTGAGCTGTTTTCAACACTGTTGTATCTGGCTGTTTGCCTTGGTTCAAGATCAGGTGGAAGATTTCTGCCTCGTGTGGAATGAGGAAGGGAGAACCGTAAGGACAGTTTATTGATTAACTGGTCGTTCTGTGATGTTCCTCGAGTATAAATACCGATTTGCAACTCAAAACAAGCCTCTGCTCCAAGGCATCGGAATTTCTACTTGTGTAAAATCCGATGTATTTTAACTGGTGTGACCACTTTCACTAACGGAAAATAACAGTGCCGGGATGAACAGCAAAGGTTACTTTGGTATTCTGAAAGGGGAAATGATTGCATACACGACATGGAGATGCTGGGGGGTGTCAGTATGTAGCATGGTAAGTACAGATGTTGTGTCTGGCTGGAGAGGCAGAGTCCTTTTTAAAAAAAAAAAAATAAATAAAAATTCAGGTGTTTAAAAATAAGAGGTTAAAAAAAAAAAAAAGGAGAAGCCTCACTTAAAATTCCGTAAGTGGTTATATTTCTGTCAGTCCAAACAACTCGTAAGATCTGGGGGGGAAGGAGACACTCGGGCAAAATGCCTTTCAGATGGTTTTTGCATGTTAAATTTTTTTTTTTTTTTTTTTGACGCTGCCTTGTACTAAAATGCAGATATTATTATGGAGCAATGGCTTTTTTGCTTGGAGCCCCGTGCCAGCAAGGCACAGCCTGTGTGAATGAGGAGTTACCGCGTTTGGCAATGCAAGAATTCTTTTATGAACAAAGGGGTTTGTTCCTGTGGTCCTGTAAACTTTTCTTTTTGAGATACGTGCCGGCATATGCGGGCAAGGCACGCGGTGTTCGACACAGCTGCGCGTCTCCAAAAGCCTGTTCAGATAAGAGCAGGGGAACAGATTTTACGCGCCCTGCAGAACTGGAGGGAAATGAACGTACAATGCACAGGTTATTCCGGTTCAGTGAGCAAGGTAAGGAGGGACAGGGTTTAGGAGTCGACTGTTAACACTAATTAAAGAAAAAAAAAAAAAAGTAAAAGTAATGAGACCTTTTCCAGGCCACATAAAGAAAAATATTTACAATACTTAACATCTTTTGTATGGTTTAAAGAACGATTTGCCTCCACTCCTCTATAAATGCACTGTTCAGAATTGATAACACAAGTTTACCTGTAAAGCCAGGCTTTTCTGCTTTGTACCCAAAGCACACGGCGCTCTCTCCTCTTGTTTTGGTGATACTGCCTACGGAACGTGACTTTGGGACTTTCCTGGCTCTGTGTGTGTCCTCCGGTGTGAATTTGCTTTGCATCTTAGGCACTTCACTGTCACGCTTCTCTGCTCTTTTGTATGGCGCAGCAAGACCCCGGGTGACTTCCTTGCGTAACGAGAGGATTGCATGGATTCCGTACAGCACCCGACTCTATCCAGGGAGAAAATCGACAAGTATTTATTTACCCCCCACACTCGCTTTCAGGAATGTTGGCTTTGCTGTTTGGTGGGGGGGTCGGTTGGTTTTTTGCTTTTGTTGTTTTGGTTTGTTTTTTTTTTTTTTATGTGAATGTACTGTAGAAAGAGTTGTAAAATGTCACTGTCTTGCATTGTTGGATCTTGGGTGAAAAAACAGTAATGTGATTTATTTTTAGCTTTTTTTTTTTTTTTCTTTGAGGTGGGAGTTGGATTTCTGGAGGGGGGGGTTATTTTGTGTTTTAAAAAAACTGCACGCCTGGGGGGAGGGCGTGCGGGTACGTGCGGCGTGTTTGTGTGTGTAAATACCTGCGTGTGCCCACACACACGCGCCCTGCATGCTTTGCATGTGGCACTTGGACGTTCGGTTCGGTGACTGTTCTAGGCTGAACTGTTAAATACTGTGTTTGAGGCTGGGTTGTCATTTTTACAACTGTCTCGGTGTTTTACTGCCATTATTTATTACTTTTGATACACGGAATGAGCCGCATGCATTTATAGAGCAATAAGAGGATGTATTTAATGTGCCTTGTTTTTAACTGAGTAGGAACTGAAAGCATGAATCAATAAAACTGATTAAAAACGGTCCCTTCACCGGCAGTTTGTTACGGCAGTGACAAAAACAACTTTGATCAGCCTTGAAAAAGTTTATTTTCAAAGGAAAAACGTTCAGGGGGATGCTGCTTGGTAAACACGGCATAATTTTGTCCACGCTTTCCCATTTTAGCTCAGAATTTAGCACTTCGTAGTTTAAAAGTGAAAATTGGGCGTTAATACAGCACTTAGCATTCCCGGGCTGTAGGAGCTGTGTGCGCCCGCCGATGACACGCAGGGTGAGGTATTCTGCACTGCCAGCTCATACTAAAATTACAGCCGGCCAACTGGCCGGGGTCTCACGCGGGGGAAAAATGCCAGTCGCAAGCGTTCCTTTGCACACTGATGAATTTCATCATAACTAAAATCAATAGAAATGAATGGAGGAGATCTCATAATCCATTTTGATCATTTTACATGTCAACTTAGTCCGGGGTTGCCATGTGTTGATAAATGTCCTGACAGAAAAAATGCTATATATTTTCATTGTCAGTAAATCAGTAAAGCCGTTATCAGTTTTAACGCAATTTTTATAATCTCCATATTATTTTATAGGTTTTAATTTACACTTGTAATAGGGATATTCCGCAACCGTGATGTAGCTGTGCTGAGTACAGGGGTTGTGGACGTGCAGCCAGAAGAGCTCCCCTCCACGCGTGTGTCCCCGAAATAAAAAGGACCGAGACCTCCCGAGTGTAATTACAAAGATGATGAGTTTTATCTAATCTGTGGTGGGTAAGTCATGTGTCGGGAAACTTTTGCTACGATCATCCTTGTCCCAAATATTCTGCAGCACTAAAACTGCCTCGGGTCGTGATCCTGAATTCGCTCCTCAACGCGAAACTGAAGCGAATGGGAGTTTTTCTGGAAGAGTGTTTTGGGGGTGGGTTCCCTCGCCCTGCGCGACGTCTCCCCTGATCAGCCACAAATTCAGCTTTGTTGCGACTTCTGCTCACTGCAGCCCGGTGTAGAAATATGATTCGGCATATCATAGCAGCATTAATATTTCAGCGTTGATGCCTGAGCTGGGTGTTTCCCGTGTCAGATAGGAACGGATTGCATCTGTTGCGGAGAGAAAACCAGCTTCGCTGGGGATGAGTCTCTGCCGCCGAGCCGGTCTCGCTTCCCCTCGCTGAGGAAG